CAGCCATCTTGTGTGTTGGAGTGATGGTCAATCTGCATATTACTCTTTTATTAGGTAGTATAGAGGCCTGGTGCATGGGTGGAGGCTGGCTGGTTTGCCTGAAGGGTGTCCCGGATCAGGGTGGGGGTTCCCTTGGGGTGTGGGGTGGCCTGGGCGAGGGGCCTGTGGTGGTTTGCAGGCTGACCATACCCCCTGGCAACTCAAGCGGAGGCCCTGGTATGTGAGGTTTATTTATCTTCTATAATTGAAACTTTGTAGCCTGGAACGGAGCCAAGCCTTGTGCTTGCTCCATGGCGGCAGCCATTTCTGTTGGGGTTTATGTATCTTCTATAATTGAAAATTTGTAGCCGTAAGCAGAGGCCTGGGCCGGCCAGGGTGTGCAGAAAGCGTGGCTTCCTCCATTGCCGGGGGCAACCCTAGCCTCCTGCTCTTTCCAGCTCCATGGCTGCTTCCATTTCTATTGGGATTTATTTACCTTCTATCATTAAAACTTTGTAGCATTTAGTGGAGGCCTAGGCCAGCAAGGCAGGCAGAAAGCTTGGCTTACTCCATTGCCAGGGAAACCCAAGCCTCCCTCCTGCTCTCTGTGGTGGTAGCCATCTTGGTTGGGTTTATTTGCATATTTGCTCCTGATTGGTTGGTGGGTGTGGCTGGTGGGTGTAGCGGAGTCATGGTTAAGTTGTATATTACTCTTTTATTAGATAGAATAAACAGGGACAAAAAAAAAAAATTCAAATTCTACCTCTTCTTTTTAGGTTTCACTTCTCTTTTTCACCAGAATTTTTCAGATCAATAGTTCTGAAATATTTTTATCTCAGGAAAAAAACAACCTCGTTACTCTTAAAAATTGAAGACGTACAAGGAGGTTTTTTTTTTTTTATATGAGATATATCTGTCAACATTTACCAGAGTAGAAATTAAAACAGATTCCTAGCCTGTTGCTCAATGGTTAGAGTGCCAGCACTTGGACTGAAGGGTCTCTGGCTTGATTCAGGTCAAGGCTAGTGGGTTCAGTTCCCACTTAAGGGCATGCATCTTGGTTGTAGGTTCCCCAGCTCCGGCGGGGGGGACATGTGGGAGGCAACCACTCGACATTTTTCTCTCTCTCTCCTCTCTCTCCTTTCTTCCCTCCGCTCTATAGAAATCGATGGAAGAAATATCCTCATGTGAGGATTAAAGATAATTAAAACCCACAAACATTAATATAATCTCTAATCAAATCAGAAAATGTTCTTTAAGGATTTTGAAACTCTCACAGTGCTACCACTGGTCAAGGGCACACCAGTTTTCTAAAATTTGAAATTCATTTGAAAGCTTGAACTTTATCATTGGCAATAAATGTTTTAAATTGTCTCCTGGAAATGACATGCTTAATTCATTCATTTTTGAGAGAATATCTGCCAAAATATTTAAATAAGACAGTATTGTCTGTTGATATGCAGCTGACATTCTTTATACTTACTTTCCATTTTATCACACAAAATATTAAAAAGACATATACTTAAAGGTTGAAATTTAATAAAATTAATCACTTTTTCATCTGGTCATTCTCATGAAACTGGCAGTTTAATACCCATCCCTCTGTAGAATAAGGCCACTAGTACAGTTTGTGCCCTGATTTACGCTAAGTCGTCTGCAGCTTCATACCATTTTACATCATCAGTGCAAATGTGTACACTGTGAGAAAGGCAAATAAAGTCTCAGTATTATTGTGAAAAGATATTTGACCTCACACATCCCAAAAGAGCCTGGGGATACACCAGGAGTCTGTGGACCACACTTTGCAAACCACTGTTTCAGATGAAACCTTTTAGAAATATCAGTTACATCCAAGGTAATTATAATATTTATTCTGAAATTAAATACTTTGCCAAGTAAATTTTCTATGCTACTTATGAAACACAAAGCTGAAATTGAAAAATAAATTTGTGTCCCTATGCAACAGGATCTAGGAAGGAAAAATGATGAACTTGGAGAACTTAAGGTATTAGAGAATTGTTTTACTGAAGCAGAGAGAATGAAACGAGAACATAGATTGTATTCTCAGGTAAGACTTATTATTTTTTTGAGATAATACTTTTGTACCACAAGAGGGAGTTATAGTCCGATATCTTTTTTAGTCTTAAGAAATTCTAAATTTGTCTATGAAAAAAAATCTCTAATATGACAGATTGCTTATAGCTTTGCAGACAACTATTTGTCAATAATAAGGTCCTTGGAACATTTATATACTTTGATTTAATTTTTGGAATCTTTACTGAGGAAATTATCCTAAATTAAAATATAAAAACTGGATTTAAGGCAATCTAGTGTTGCTCAAAATGGCATTAAGTTTAGAAACATCATAGGTGATTATTAGGAGAAAAAGGAAAAATCATAATAAAATGACAAAATATGATTATGGTATAATTTTAAGAAAATATTTTAAGTAGACTATTATTGCAAATGTAGAATTTGCATAGATTACAACATGACTGAAAGGGTTCATACTAAAGTGCTAATGGAAATGAACAGTTAGCAATCATTTAAGAAGTAGAAATTAGCTCAAGTATTGGCTTTTGTAAATATAGGAGCTCGATGAATAGAGAGGAAAGCAAAAACAAAGCTAGCTCATATATTGTTTTAAAAATTAAAATGACAATAAATATGTATTTACCTTAATGCTTGAAAATTATTTTTCTGAAGAGGAATTTGGTTATTTTAGAGATAAATCAAATAACTGGTTAAAGTCATAATATGTCTTTATCCTAAATTGGGAAAACTAGGTTATGAGAACTCATGCATAAACAAGAAGTAATTTACTCTTGGGTTGAATTCACCATCAGCGTGAACTTTCAAACATTGTTACTCCACAGTGGACACACTACATTCAATGTGATGGGAGTCCTGACCCCTCAGTCGCCCAGGAAATGAATACTTTCATTAGCTTGTGGAGAGAGGAAAGAAATGAGACATTTGAGGAAGTAATTACAAAGAGTAAACTAGTATTATACGTAAGTACTTAAATATTATTCTACAATATAATTTTAAATTACTTAAATTACAAATTAATTCCAAAAATAGGAATTAAATAAATTTGATAATTGCCAATTAATAGCATTGTTGCTTCCTTGGCTAAGGAGGAAAATATTTGCTAACCTCTTTTTTTTTTTTTTTTTAACGCCAAAAACCTCTTGATGCCTAAGGTGAGGTCAACATAACATAAATGTGAAATGCTAATTGTAATGTGTATCTAATTCAAGCGCAAAAATTAAGTTGCATCTATTTATGTCAATAATTTCGAGGGAAAGTGCATAATTTTATTATCAGCTGGCATTATTCACTATTCGGTGATGCAGAACACATGCTTTTATTGTTAACTATGTGCCAGACATCTACTCATTCAGGCAGGGAAAGTATAAAAATGATTAAGAATATCCTATGTTCTATTTCTGCAAATAGGATGGACAGACTAGCCTGAGGAATTACCACTTTACAATAGACTTAAAAATGCTAGAAAACATTTTTCATTTATTTTTATTTTTTCAAGTTCTTCCCTTCTTTTCGTTTTATTAACTTTAATCTTCATTGTTTAGAATATTACAGATGTCCCCCCTCTTTCCCCTTATTGCCCTCCTCAACCTAGATACTGCCCACCTGCTTCACCACCCTATTGTCTGTGCCCATAGGTAATGCATATCCATACTAACAAAAGCCTATGTGGTCGTCATGCCCTCACTGCATGATGCCCTCATTACATCACAACCCATCACTAGGAGGCTGCATGTGCAGTTGGTGCACGAGGGTGGGCGGGGCTGTATAAGTGGCGAAGCACTCGCAGGTGGGTGAGGACTTAACCAGGAGGTGCATCAGGGGAGCGGATGGCGGCTGCCACTGCTCAGGGCCTGCCCAAGACTCAGGCAAACCACAGTTGCTAAGAGGGCTGAGGCTCAGGCAGCCTCGCAGCCAGCAGTGGCAGCAGCAGAGGTGTGATGGGGCATCGTCTTCCCCTGACCACCGGGTCACCTTCCACAGAGGGAGGCCAGAGGCAGCAGCGAGGAGGTGACGGGGCAGTGCCTTCCCCTGATTGGCCAGTGGCCTCCCTCTGTGGAGCGGGCCTAAGCCATCAGTAGGCCATCCCCTGAGGGCTCCCTGACTGTGAGAGGGGGCAGGGTAGGCTGAGGGAACCCCCCACCAGTGCACGAGTTTTCGTGCACTGGGCCTCTAGTATGCATATAAATTCTTTGGTAAATCTCTTCCTAGCCCTATCTCCCCCTTCCCTCTGAGACTTATCAGTCTATTCCATATTTCCACGCCTCCACTTCTATTTTATTTATCTGTGTGTTTTGTTCATTGGATTCCTTCTTTTATTTTGATTTTTAGATTCAATTGTTGATAAATATGTATCTATTACCATTTTGTTGTTCATATATTTTATCTTTCTTCTTCTTCTTCTTCTTCTTCTTCTTCTTCTTCTTCTTCTTCTTCTTCTTCTTCTTCATCCTTCAACATTTCATGTAATACTGGTTTGGTGGTGGTGATCTCCTTTAGCCATTTCTCTGTGAAGCTCTTTATTTCACCTTCAGTTCCAAATGAAACTTTGCTGGGTAGAGCCTCCCACACACTGTGAGGTATTTCACACCAATGGACTCGTCATACAGTGTTCTCGCCATTGCATCGCTCTCTACCCAGAGGCTGCCATGGCGTGGTGCTGGGCCGGGAGTCTGGTGCTCTGCCATTAGCAGGGAGGCTGTGGGAGGTAGCACTGGCGTTCACTAGTGATGAGCAAGAAGTGGTATCTTCCTGTTATGAATGTGGGGTACAGAAGTACAAGTCATAAGTAGCGGGGGAGATGAGAGAAGGATAAGTAAAAGGAGACAGCAGAAGAGAGAAATCACAGCAATAGGAAACCAAAACAGGAAGCCATAAGAGCAACAGAAAGGACAGGATAGCAGAAAACCCATGGTAAACATCAAGTTCCAAGTTATCCAATTTATTTCTTGGACAAACTCTGAGATAACGCTTGCTATTCCAGGCTTTGGAAATAGTAACTTGCTGAATTTTTATAATAACCCTATGAGGAAGGCACCATCATTCCCATTTTACAAATGAAGTTGAGGCATAGAGAAGTTAAAGAACTTGCCCAGGATCACACTGGTAGTTAAGAGCTGGCTAGAACTGAAACCCACTGTCTGGTTCGAGTCCATACTACCCTAAGCTGCCATGTTGCCTCTTCTAACTTAGAAGTTTTTTTATTTACTTATTAGCTGTATCAGTGTTCAGAGCTAAATTCTGCCACTTACTAGTTGTTCCTTGATCATGCTGTGCCTCAGTTTCTCCCAACACTTTAAATATCTTGCCACCCTTTCCTTGCTTGCATGGTTTCTGAGCAGTTGGATGTAACTATTTGCTCCTCTAAAGGTAAGACTTTTTCCCCACAGATTTCCATCAGGATTTTTAAATTTATATTTTATTTCCTATAGTTCGAAAATGATATGTCTATAATTTGGGGAGGCATTTATCCTGCTTGATGTTCTTTGAGCATTGTGGAACTGTGGCTTGGAGAAATTCTCAGTCATTATTATTTCAAATATTTCTTCTATCCCTTCCTCTCTTTTTTCTCCTTTTAATATTCCCATTATGTGGAGACTGCTTTCAGTCATTGTCTCACAGTCCTTGGATATTCTGTTTTGTTTTTCTTTCAGTCTTCTCTCTCTGCTTTTGGTTTTCCTTTCTATTGATATGTCCTCCAACTCAGAGAGTCTTTCTTCAGCTGAGTGTAGTCTGCTAGTGAGCCCACCAAAGGCATTCTTTAATTTATTCCAGTGGTTCTGATCTCTAGGATATCTTTTTGGTTCCTTCTTAGTATTTCCATCTCTGCTAACGTTAGCCACCTGTTCTTGCATGGTGGCTTTTTTGTCCACAGAGTCCTTAGCGTATTATGTTCAACACAGTTGTTTTAAATTTCCGGTCTGATCACTCCAACATCCCTGCCATGTCTGGTTCTAATACTTACTCTGTCTCTTCAAATTGTGTGTGTGTGTGTGGGGGGGGGGGGGGGGGGGGGGGGGTAGATTTTTTATGTTTTGTTTTTGCCTTTTGGTATGCCTACTCATCTTTTCTTGATAGCAAGACCTGATATAGTGGGAAGAAGGAACTGCTGTAAAGGGCGCTGAGTAAGGCGGGGGCGAGAGATGGCAGGGGAGGGGAAGCGTTCCCCAGTGCTGTGGTGGGCCTCAGTCCCGGCCAGGACAGGAATTTCACACGTGTCTTCAATTTCTCCTACCTCTCTCAGTCTGTGGGGGGATGACTGGAGCCAGCTGGAGTAGGCTCTTTTCTGTCCCCCAGGTGAGGTAGGTCCGATAAAACTCCAGGGGTCAGGCTCTGGTTCATGGGTTTCCCAAGCTTAGGCCTTCTGAAGGAGAACAGAGTGTCCCGGCATTGCAAAATGGTTTCCTTTCCCCTCCCAGAGCCTGAGCAGGGGGGATTTTCCCCTGCGTGTATCGTGGGACCTGGTGGAGCTCCTGCGGGGACCAGCCAGGGAGCTGTGGCTCCCCTGCCCCTCCCGGAGCTCTTTGTGTCCGGAGGCACCCTCTTACAGCTCAGGGTTTCCTGCGGGTCAGGCCCAGGCCCCTGCTCGGTCCAAGCTGGTGAGCCGGGACTCCCTATATTCTCTGGGGAATCTCTCCAGTCTTGCGGGGGGGGGGGGGGGGGGGGGGGGGGGGCAGGGACTTGCCCTGTCTCCCCTCACTTGTGGATTAAAGAAGAGTTGTTGACTTTCCAGCATGGTCTGCATATTACTTGCTGGGACAGAGTGGCGCCTTCCTGTAAGCTTACAGGCGGAACCGGATGATCCTGAATTTTCTCATCGACAAAATAGGCACCAGCACCTGCGAAACAGGGTTATGAGGAGGATCTCGGCAAGTAAAACGCAGACAGCGTTTAGGATAGTTGCCGGCACCTGGTACACTCTCAGGAAACGCTAGTGCCTTTCCTTTTGGCCTTCTCACGGTTCTCCTGTGGGTGCGGTTCCCACTGGGCCGCGGTCTTAGGCATGAGAGCTCCGTTACACCTGGTTGAGAATTCTCACCATGGAGTTCTGGGAGGAAGTGGCTCTGTTTTTCTGTGCTCTTAAATAATATAAAAATTACTTCCTATATTTATTTTACTGACACTGACATGTGTTCTTGGATTCAAAAAGATTAGCATATCCCCATGTTCACCTTTTTTGTTTGTCAGAATCGATTGACTTTTATAGTACATTTTTACTTCCTATTTTTACTTCTTGCTTTATAGTTAATTAGTAAGTTGAAATTAATTTTATTGGAAACGCCATCTACTGACTTGACAGAGAAAAAAATCGCGCAGTACCAGGGCTCCATCGTGGAGCTGCAGGAGGTGCTGCACCTCAAGTTCAACATCGCCACGGAGCTGCTGCTCAGGGTGAGTGCAGGTGTGCTCAGATGTCAGTGTTAGCTTTTGTAAGGGTTAAAATAAGGGTATGCTATATAATAAAAAAAACACACACACACACTATTTTCTTATTCAGAAATTAAAAGGTTCAGAAAAATCAGTGGAATAATGTAAGGCACACGTATTTATCCACTTTTAACAACTGTAACTATTTTATTTTTAAACAAAACATCCATGTAGCTAAAATTCTAGTTTTCTTTATTATACTTGATAAGGTTTACTAGGATCACTTTAGAAATAAATTCACAAGACATTATATAGTAGGTGTTTTCTCTAGATAAATCAGTTGGTACAGGATTACAATTATTGTAGTCACTCTGTTTTTCTGAATATCTTAGCACTAATGATAATATTCAAATAACCGTAAAACCATTATTATACCTAAGAAAATTCATAAAAATTCTATATCTTCTAATGTCCAGTTTTATATTTAAATTTTACCTAATATCCCATGAATATCTTCTATAGCTGTGTTTTATATTTTTAAATCATAAAACCATCTAAGGTCATATTGCTTTTGGCTATTCTGCCTTTTTTTCTTTTGGTCTAGAAAACAGTCCTGGCCTTGGTAGCAAATGTTCTAATTACTTAAAGAACTCCAAAGAATGCTTAAATTTCACTAAGTTTATTGTTAGCAATGATATTCATATTATAACTTTGCAATTATTTTATTTATATCATAAGAAAAAGCAAGTAAGGAAATATTAGTTAAGATGTTTATTGTAAGAGAAAAGTAATACAGAATGTGAAAGAAAATATTAGAAAAAATACTATAATGTTGCCCTGACCAGTTTGGGTTCAGTGGTTAGAAGTGTATCAGGTTAGATCCCCAGTCAAGAGCATATACCTGGGTTCCAGGTTAGATCATGGCACTGCTTGGGAGGCCTGTTTGGAAGGCAAACAATTGATGTCTCTCTCACATCAGTATTTCAAACTCTCTTCCTCTTTCTCCCTCTCCTTCTCCCTCCCTCTCTCTCCTCCCCTCCTCCATTCCTTCCAGTCTCTCTATCAAAAATCAATGGAAAAAATATACTCAGGTGAGGATTGACTATATATATATACACACACACACACTGTAATAAATCTGATATAAAACAGAAATATCAGTATGAACTCTATTTTTATTCCATATTAGAGGCTCAGTGCAAGAATTTGTGCACTGGGGGGAGGGGGTGTCCCTCAGCCCAGCCTGCACCCTCTCCAATATGGGACATCCCTCTCACAATCTGGGACTGCAGACTCCTAACCATTTACTTGCCTGCCAGCCTGATCACCCCTAACTGCCCTCCTCTGCAGGCCTGGTTGCCCCCAACTGCCCTCCCCTGCCAGCCATCTTGTGACAACATGGAGGTGGCTATCTTGTGATCACATGGGGGCAGCCATCTTATGGCAGCCATATTGTGATGTGGGGGTGGCCATCTTGTGATGACATGGGACAGCTATCTTGTGACAATGTGGGGGTGGCTATTTTGTTATGATATGGGGGCGACCATCTTGTGAGGGCATGAGGATCAATTTGCATATTACCTCTTTATTATATAGGACACTGGTTAGCAAACTGCGGCTCATGAGCCACATGTGGCTCTTTGGCCCCTTGAGTTTTCAGCAAAGGCCAGCTTAGGAGTACCCTAATTAAGTTAATAACAATGTACCTACCTATATAGTTTAAAATTTTTGACTCTCAAAAGAAATTTCAATCGTACTGTTAATATTTGACTCTGTTGACTAATGAGTTTGCTGACCACTGATATAGGATAAAGGAGTGAGGTATAATTAGGTTAAATGGCTAATTCCAGGTCTGTGGCAAGGAAAGTGAAAGATAAGGTTGTTATTTAAAGATAAGGTTGAGTTTTCTTGTGTAAGAAAGCAAATAAATGCTCAAAGTCTAATGGGGTTATATCCAAAGGGAAATGACTAGCTTAAAGAGTCTCCTACTAGTCCAATTTGGGACAATATGAATATCAGGAAGAATAATGACTAAAATTGATTATAACATAAATGAAAATTCATGAGTCTTTAGTGATGCTCCAAAAGAAAGGAGGAAAGTGGGGTGGGCAGTGGAGGAGAACAATTATATAAAGAAGAATATTATTTAATAAATGTAGGAGAAATGGTCATTTAACAGTGTTTCCCAAAGTGTGGTACGTGTACCTTCAGGGGTATGGGAAGAGTTTGGTGGGGGTACGCATTGCACCAGAGTTTGGTGGGGATATGCACTGCACCGTGCTTAGCTGTGCCTAATTCTACATTCTCATGAGTACTAGGGGTACTCAGCGTTACGAAAATTATAGAAGGGGTACACATATGTTAAAAGCTTGGGAAACACTGACTTTGAAGAATCACCAGTTTTCAATCCCTAATGTAATAATAATAATAAGGATCATCAATGGTTACCTAAATAATTAGTGAAAAGTTGAGTTGTTAAGGAACACATTACCTGGTATTCTCCTAGTGCCAAACTATTTGACCACAGATTACTTCTTACTGATTGTGAAAAATGGAGTTGTGGGTAGTTTCCACCCTAACCAATAATATACCTCCTGAAGAACACAACAAAACCTATGATGCCTTCTTGCTAAAAGTGGTTTCATCTGAATCTAATTAAACCTATATAGACCTAACTTCTAGTACACACAAAATAAGGAGGTAGAGGAGCAAATTAAACAATACCATGTGGAAACAATCAGATAAATCCACAATGTGGAACAATTTGACAAGGCCATTATCCTCATCACTTCAAAAAGCTAATTTCACCAGAAAAAGAAGGGGGATAATCTTCTTTTAAAAAAGCAATTAATCCCCAATACTCTTTAAATTTTTACTTTATAACAACCAAATACATATTAACTTATTTAAGCCCTTTAAGGGAGCAGTGGGCATCAAACTATGCTAGTCTTTATTAAAATAAATTGAAAGACATTCTTAAGTCGTATGTTTAATGTTAGATACCAAGTGTTGGACTAGTAAAATATAAAACTCATTTGGATTTTATAAACTGGATATTTTGTGTCTAATCTTGATATATTCAGAAATAGGCAAACTTTTGCAGTAGCATAATTGTTTTTAATAAGGTGCAGATAAAATAGCATGTGTATAGTTAGAATGAAAAGTCATGATAAGGTTAACATTGAAAAGGGTTACATAATAGTAATCTGCACATGCTACCTGGGTATGTAGGGCAACTTTCATCCTTAGACATCTACAGAGAAACTGAGTGAAAAAAGGGAAAGAATAGTTAATTAAATATATTTATACAATTTTGAGATTTTTAAAAGCTATTGTTTGCTATTTTGATTGAATCTTATTTTTACTCAAATAACTCTTATAAGTAATGAAGGGAATCCAACAATTAAGTGATGAAGTAACTTATCTAGGCTGTATAATTTATGAGGCCTCTGATCTTTTATAATGCTTTCTTCTTCTCTCACAGCAAGCTAGTACTTTAGCAGATCAGGACACTGGAAATATGGAAAAAGTCATTCGGGATGAAAATATTACCCTGTATGTGTGGGCAAACCTCAAGAAGAATCCAAGGTATTCCCACAGGAGATGCTGGAAGTTGAAAGACATTAGAGTCATATATCATGGTGGCCAACATATGCCTGTTGAATCACAGAATGGAATCCCAGGAAAAAACCCATATTAAGAAATAAAGCATGTGGGATTTTGAATCATAGACCTGCCTTTTACCTTGAGCAAGTTACATAGCTTTGTTGAGCTTTAGTATGTCAACAGTACACTGATGATTATATTACTTATCTGGAGGCCTGATGCACGAAGATTCATGCAGGAATGGGCCTTCCTTCCCCTGGCTTCTGGAACCCCCTCCGGCCTGGAGCTGCCTTTCTGCCTTCCCATGCTGCCCAGAGGTCCAGAGTGGCTGAGGAAGATGCAAGTGTCCCGTCCCTGACTGCTTGGCATCTGTGTATGCAAATTGACCCGCCATCTTTGTTGGGTTAATTTGCATACTCCTGATTGGGTGATGGGTGTCACGGAGGTATGGTCAGTTTGCATCTTTCTCTTTTATTAGTGTAGATATGTGTCTAATGGATATAGTATACTAGTAAAAATAGTCACAGAAAGAAATATTTTTCCAAGTTCTTAATTTCATTGATATCTGCATGCTTCTTTTAGTGTTACACACTTATAATTCAGTCCAATTTTTATGCCCTTCTTTGATGAAATAGTTTTCTCAGTAAGAAAGAATGGATTCATAATTGGATTGATTTGTGCTATCTTAAGTGCTCTGAGCTATAATCAACAAGATTTATCAGTTTCTCTTTTTTTATATATAAACTTTATGACCAGGCTGACAGGCAGAAGTAGTTAGGGGCAATCAGATAGGCAAGCAGGCAGGTGAGTGATTGGGAGCCAGCAGTCCTGGATTGTGAGAGGGATGTCCGACTGCCTGTTTAGGCCCTATCCCAGTGGGCAGTCAGACATCCCTCAAGGGATCCCAGATTGGAGAGGGTGCAGGGTGGACTGAGGGGGACACTCCTTCATCCATGTATGAATTTCGTGCACCGGGCCTCTAGTTAATGCATATAAAGGTCATAGCATGGTGTCTAGTACAAATATAAGCTGAATAAATATCAGGTCTTCGCCTTCTCTTCACCTCCTGAAGTAGACATGGTAGATACTTTCTACGTGGCAATCTCAAATTTAAAAAACAACAATTTTTTTGTGACTGTTAAAAATAATTCCATAAGATAACACTTTCAAATATTTTATTTTTAGCTATTTAAGTGATGTTTTCCCAATTATTTTTAACAAAGTAACAGCTTTCTAAGGAATGATAGCAGTAATCTCAAATATTTCAAATTGGTTGAATTAGTATGACAGTATGTTTTAAGAAAAAAATCACCAGAGTAAAAATTAGGAGGTTCTGGTCTCAGCTCTGAAAAGACTAGTCATATTACAATGGAAGAAACTGGATTTTATTTTTGATATTTAGTAAAAGGAAACTAGAAAGTATTCTCCATGTTGCATTTGCTATAAAATTCTCTGTGGTTTACATCTAAATTAGGGACAACAAGCAATATAACTGTTTTTATTATGGAAATATATACTGAAGGGTGAAGAGAATTAACCTTTATAATTTTAAAAGAGCAAAAGAAAAATGAATAGCTCTTTATTAACTACCCGTGACTAAGAAGAGAATTAGGAGTCCTTTTACTAAGATGACAAGTAGTGGAGGCAGAAAACATTCTGTTTTATTTTGATGGTGATGAGGGGAGTTGTAGGAAGGGACTTGTTGGATTTGAAGTACCTATAAATATCAAGTACAACTGTCTGAAAGACTTCAAAGAAATCTTAGATTGATTTGGGGAAGTCATTAGCATATAAGTCAATAGTTCTTAACTTTTTGGGAGTCATAGACTGACTCTTAGGAACTTTAAATCATTCTATATGCTCATATATATATATGGTTTTCCCAAAAATGCATATATATA